TCTCTAAGTCTTTCTACAGAGAAGGTATTGGTGCAACGGGATGCAAATGTGCTTTTATTACAGTTACTAATTACACAGCAAAAGGTCGCCACTTACACAGGTCAAAAGGCAGTGCTGACTTCTGCCTCCGCCGAGCTGCGACGTCCTCCGGCCGAAGCAGAGCAGAGGCTGCCTGTGTAAAGGAGGGCTATCGGGGCCAGGCTGCTTTCTCCCTGCGTCCCTCCTCTATGGACTCAGCGGGAAATCCTGTATAAACCCATCAAAAGAGCAAGGATAGGGACAGACTTATGGGAAAGAGGAGGGAGTTCCTTCCCTGGAAACGAGACAAAGAAAATGCTGACAGGCGGCACAATGGGTCAGCTTTATCAGGCGGCAATCCCATCTTCTGAATTCACTTCTGCCTGGGGGAGGGAAAAGACGAAGGAAAACAATTCCTAAAAACTTATTAAAGCGACAAATACGTTTGTTATCCTGAGCGTGCTTTTCACCTCTGAGATTATGACTACTTCTGCTTGGTTACAGCACTAACACTGCTGTCTCTCGGGGTCCCATGCTTGCATGAACACGTGTAGAAATGGAACAGCAGCAAACTTTAGCCCCGAAGACTAGTCTCCACCAGAGAAAGGAGAGGGACTCCTCTAGAAAAGAATCCAGAGCAAGAATTCAACGTAAGCAGGTCAAACTCCTTGGCTGTTTCAAGCCTTTATCACTGTTTTTTTTGGTGCCATATTTGGAATAGGAAGCAATTGTAGAATTGTTCCTCGTTTTACTACCCATGGGAGCACTTCCCTTCTACTCCACGGACGATGTTTTCCCTGTTTTGAGGTCACGGAACACTTGCATTTTGTCTTAACGAAGAAACATCCCTTCAAGCCGCTCACTTTGAAGTGCCTTTGTATTCTGGAAGACATAGTACTGACACGAACAACCACAACACGGCATAGTATTTTTCAGAATTCATAGCAACACCTACCAAATACAGCTCCTGCTGCTACATTCAGCCACCCCAGCAAGAAAGACCGTAAGGCAGATACCACCTTTGGCAACACATTCTCTTTGCTTTTTATGGATTTCACCTACAAACTTAGCATTCCTAGAAAACGTAGTGTATAAATAATTCAGCATGGGTAACGATGGCGTCCTAGGGAGGCAGGATGAGGCCACGCAACCTGAAATTTGTTTAGTTCACCAAGACAAACTCAAGTCCATCTTCCTCACGACCGAAAGAAGCGTGTCCTCATGCAGCAACATCTGCTCTATTTAATGCAAAACAACACTTATTTATTCAGCTCAAAAGCCTGACAAGCTCAGAGGCAGAACGGTCTTTGTTTATTTGTGAGACTCTCACTTCTTCTCCGTCCACGAAAGCTAAGAAACACCACAACGTTTTTATGGCTCATCCTACGACACAGACGTATCAACAGGGTTTACCTGCCTTAGGGGGGGATTCAAGCGAAGCAATTCTCAGAACTCACCTCTCCACGGGGAAAATGCCAACAACTGCCCAACATCCATTCTGCATCTTAAGCGCAAGAGACTGAAACGCTGTCACAACTCACTCTGAAGCACCTGCCTCTAAGGAGATTAAGCGGAAAACAATTCCATGCAGGTCTCTAACCCGGGGCGGGTGGCGGGGATACGGACCTTGCAGCTCGGAAGTTATCCAGCTCTGAAGTCTTTGGGTATGTACAGGGGAACTAAACACAAACGTCACTTGCACTTGATCACATCTGCTTCCCCGGCACCATGGTAATACCACTGAGAAGCCATCACGTAAAGCCAGCTCAGGCAAAATGCAGGATTTCTGGCAGCGCTGTTCAACAAAGGCTGGATCTAAAAAGAGATTCTCCCTTTCTATTGTTTTTGCTTTAAATAATTTGGCATTAACAAAGGCTTGAGAAGAAGTAGCACCACATTCTGGATGCCGAGGTCCTGGGATGAGCGCGTCTGAAAGATAGCAGGCACTTCTAATTAAAGATACACTGAAAAGACAACCATCTAAGTTACAAATAAAACCACCGCTGCATAAGCTTGTCATTTAAGCACCAATAAGTAAATATATATACGGATGTTACGATTTCTAACAGGGAACCCGAAGTTCAAAGCAGAGAGCTCAAGCAGAGAGAAAGGCAAGTGTCATTACATGAAGCTGAACACAAGCAAAACCATTCCATTCCAAGCCTTTCTGCCACAGGATTTGGAGGCTTTACAGACATAATCTTTTGGAAAAGATATTGTTCCAATCCAAAAGCAAAAAGTAAATGAAGTGCAGCTAACACCTTTTTACGTATTTTCATGTGCGCCACATCACTGGGTCTTTTTGTCCCTTCCTGCAGCACTGCAAGCACCTCTTTATTTTGGTGAAATCCTCTTCAAAAAAAAAAAAAAAAAGAAGACAGAACAATCCAACACATCCCCTTTATTCATTTAAAAAACATGGAAGAAAAGTGATAGGGAAAGTTTTAGCAATAAAAAAGGGATCCTGCTTAAAAATCTATAGAACTTGTCTAGCAACATAAACTGATCTCTTTGGGTTAGAGATGACCCCATACAAAACCCCAAATTCAGAACACTCACAGTGCAGGAGAATCTGGCTACAGACCACTTTTCTACTTTAGGTTAAACTCTTCCCTTAGATTCATGTATCCCACTGCTACCAGCTTCGACATAAGTAGAATACGTAGCCCTCACAGTAATATTTTCCTTAAATGGTAATGGATATGTTTTAGCTTTCAGACAAAAACACTCTGGGCCATGTTAGAAAGAACTCTAGGGTCACAGAGACTTATGGCTGACTCTTTAGAGCAAACTTAGAGCAGACTGCACAGCAGTTATACAAGCAATTAAGAAAAAAATCTCTTATTTGGCATTTCTCTATCAATATCTCTCGGGCCTGTGACGTGAAGGTCATTCACCGTTAAGCAGATATAATGTACGCCAATGGGTTCTGCTTGGCTGAGATGAAAGACTTTCATGCTCCTGAATATAAAGCAATGAACAGTGTTTCCAGCTGTCCCTGGAAGGCCTCATCCTCTTCCCATCACAAAACTTGGCTCTTCAGCATCATCTTCCTTCTCTTCCTCCTCCTTGCTATCCTCTTCATCATCCTCGCTGCTGACTCGCTCTTGAGATTGATCAGGTTCTAAAAACACAAACAGTACGAATTGATAACAAGGAAGACACATGGGAATACGTTAAGTATTTCACAACAAAATAGTTTCAGGTGCTAAGCAAACGTGTATTAGCTCACGCTAATTAGTACGGATGGGTAACATATTCCCACACGTCTTCCTTGTTAAAGATCTCACAACAAAGTAGTCCCAGATACTCAGGAAACATGTATCAGGTTATATTAATTCTACCGAGCGATGCAGAGCTCAGAATTTCAAATTCTCCCTTGGAGAAACATTCCCTTACCTCCAACGTTACCACTGTGCCAAGTCCATCACTAAACAACTCCACCTCCTGTGGAACATTATTTCAAGCAGAGGTAGTCAAACGCTGAAGTGATAGATTATCTCATTCCCAATCTCACCTCTGCACGTCGGCATGGACTTTCAAGTATCACAGAGTACTGTTAAAGAATGCAGGCACCGGGAAGCCACGGGCAAGACCCAGTGTATTTCTACACCCACCCCACAGAAACTCCACAAGGTGCCATGAACTTTTACAGTCTGTTTGGTATTCTGCAAGTACAGGAACTCATTAAGATAATGAGGGTCACAGAGAACTCGTGAAGCCTGCTAAAAGACCAGAAAACACCTACTAGAAATTAAATAACGGATAATGAAAATTAGGTACGGCATAAAGTGGGACCCGAATCTAATAGCCATTCTGCTGCTCCCAGTAGCTCTTGTACCTTCAGTGTTTCTCAGGCCAAGGCACACTCAGCTCACGCTCTGATCAGTTACACCTAGGATTTAGGATTAGTGGTCTGATGCCACCGCGTGGTGAAGTTCTGTACTTTCATTTTTTATTAGGGGTCTGTACAATAATGCAACTTTAACAGCTAACCTTATTTAGCACCAACCTTTATTCTTAATGTTTTTACTACAACAAAGGTGAAAGACGGCAATGCGCAGGTTTTATTTATTTATTCAAAAAGGAAGATAAATGCTTGCCTGCCACATCCAACAAATACACTTCAATTAATTTGGAAAAACTCTCAGATCTCAACCCAGGGCACACAAAACTAGAAAAAGACAAGCCTGTTCTCAGTAGACTAAAGATGGCTATCAGTGGCTTCTATCTCCACTGATTCTTTTTTTTTGTTTGTTTTTTTGTTTTTAAAATAGAGATCCACAACCTGTAAAGAGCTAAGAACTATTCTAAAGACAGGGGAGTTTGGATTCTGGCTTCCAGAAGATGACTTATTTGTGCTGAATGAAAACATTCCAGCCCGACGACTGGTACGCGGCAGTCCCATAGCACAGTGCCAGTCCCTGATCCAGCTCCCCTCTCTCCCAGCCGCTCCCTAAAGGGATGGGTATTTGGTTTTGTTCAGTGAACAAAAGTAAGGTGACTCATACTTAAATTCTCCTCCCAGTCACAATTCATAAATGAGTAGCTTTAAAAAAAAAAAACAGAACCAAACCAAAACAACAAAAAACCCCACTCTGCTACATTCACTTGCTGTCACGAGTAAAATTAACCTAACGATTAATTTGTCCTTCCATGTTTATATGGGAGGCTGGCAATGGTTCAGCTGAAACAGATCCCATTTTGAAAAGCAAAGCAGAAATAAGGTAGCGCTGTCAGACAAGTCACTGTTCTAGCAGAATTATCAGGAACTGTTGTAACTTTAAGACTAAGAATTACTGCAGAGTGAGCGTGCTAATCCACAAAGGACAACTATTTGAAAGAGTAAGCTACAATATACTCACTGAAAGGAAGCAACATGTATTCAAAAGTTTGAGCGCAGTTACACTGACATTGCTGAACATTAATTTTCAAGACTGCAGAAGAACAGAGGCAGTCAGGTTTTTCACATTTGTTTCTATGCAAAATAAAATAGTCACGTGGAACAGATGGCACCAAGGTGACTCGATTTCTTACACATAAAATCATAACTCAGTTTCTTGTTTGCATTTTTTCCACCTGTTTTCCCATACGCATTCAAAATATACGTAAAAAAAGAACAGCCTTTAACAATATTGCCTTTTTCAGCAGATGTTCCAAATCTGCAGTTTGTCAGAATAGCTGGGGCAAAACATCCACAACCAACAAACTCGGATTCCAATGTTTGCTGTCCAAAATTTCCCCTAATAAAGGGAAAATATTCACAAACAACCAAGTTATTTCTAAGATTAAATCTCAACATAGATGGCTTTCAAAGAGGACTTTTGAAACGTTAGCTAAAATAACAAGCTTAAGGCTCCTCTCCACGTATCGAGAATGCTTGGCGTAGCGGGGTGGAACAAACCTTTCTAGACTTCAATTAGGGAACGGAACTAAGTCTTGAGAAAACTACATTTCACTGACCTTTTTCCTGCTTCTTTTGTTCAAGTTTATTTTTCTTAGCTTGCAGTTTCTTCTCTTTTAACTTCTGGCTATAAAGCAAAGTAGAAAAGACTCTCATTCAAATCCAACATTGTCACGCTTCTGCACATTCATACACTGACAAAGGACATACTACAGACATCTTGGAAAAAGAGACTTCAGAAGAGAAGTTCAATTTGAATTTGGCCTCAGCTGCAAATTCGGCGAACTTAGACACATGATCAACAGAAACTCTTCTATGTTGTTTTTAGTCTAATGGAATTTTTTTTTTCTAAAGTCTTCCATGACACCACTGCAACCAAAACTGTATGATACGCAAGAATCTCCAAGAACACAGAAGGAACAAAAATGAAACTGCCCCTACATTTTAGCTACCTAGCCTAATAAACAAAAAGAGAAAATGGTGTCAAAACCCAGACTGCTGGAACTGAACATTGGGAAAAAAAAATTAAGTCATCACCAGCAATATATAGTTTAATTGAAAAAAAAAAAGCAGTGTGCTTTGACCTTCATCTTTGGCTGTACTTCATCAATATGTTGGGCCCTAGGAGTAACGTTAGGGGTAAGAGGGAATTTCAGTTCATATGACCTAGTTCTGTTTGCCTAGCAAAGGTAACCAGGCAGTCTAACAGCAGAGACAGGGCAGAGCGATCGGGGATTCATGTTCCCCTCTCAACACCAGAAATGAATTCTGTTGAAACAGAGAGCCAAGTACTGTACCTGTTAACTCAGGACGGAAGAGAAAGGGTGGTGAGGGAAGTTAGAGGGGCTTGGGACCTACACCATTAGGCTACTCTATAGAAGAAGGGGGACAAGGAGGCGTTGGAGTGTTTAGGCAGCATTTGCTGTTTGAACAATTGTTCTCCATCTCTGTCAGGAAAAAGGCAGCAGGCCAGATCTGACTTGCTGGCCATCTGTTGGACCACACTAAATTAAAGTAAGATGGCAACAGTGTTTGTGTTGTGCACTTTTGTGCTAATATGCCAGTGAGTCACTTTGCACAGGCCTTTCAGCAGCAACTCTCAGCTACAAGATGTAAAACCCTCATTCCCAAAGCAGCAAGAGAAAGGCTGCTGAGGGTCAGACCCTCTGAAAGAGCCGAGCCATGATACTCTGCTATTTCTGAAAGGTATGGTGGACACAGACTGTGGAATTTAAATTCTTGTATCACTGCATTACAATTCTCAGACCATTTCTTGAGAGCATCAATCTTGTAACTGTTTCACTTTGTCTAAAACTTAAGAGAAGGAAAGATTTCATATTTCTTAATTTTTCCATCTAACTTAGTAGACTTGACCTGCCTGACATCACATTGAAGGAGGTAGAAGCAGCTACTGATTTTAACAATACTGAACCCATCAGTGGCCTCTTCAGTATTTGCAGACTGAACTGGACTAGTCACACTGACAGTGTACAGAGGACAGCATCGTGCCCCATCACACTCCGCTAGTCCGAATCCACATGCGTACCCATTAAGCAGCACCCATTTTGGCACTTGAGCTGCTTGGTGTCAGCTGTTTCAGATATTTATTTAAGCCAGATGTACATACAAACCTTTCCTGACATTGTTATAACAAATATGCAGCAAGGCATGTTGCAGTCAACACCACTGTGTCAGCAAAAGCTGCTCAACAGTCAAAAGTTATGCTGCTAGCGATGGCACAGAAAATAAATGCCAGCAAAGCCTGTCAAGTTTACAGCTGCCTTTAGACACCAAACAATGACATTAACGAAATTAATTTTCACAGCCAGACTTCTCAGGTGACAGATGTAGACACAGAATGATAGCACTTATCCAAAGCACGCAGCTACAGATGAGGCACAGGGCATGAGGGTTTCCACGTCAAGCCTCCTGGGAACAATCTGCCCTTACCGCTTCCTTCTGCGTTTTGCTGTTTGTTCTTCTGCAATCATCTTATTCCTCTCCAGTTTCTTCTGGAATTCCTCATCTAGTCTTTGCTGTAATTGATCACATGTTATACTTTGATCACAATCTAAACTAAAATACTTCTTTTCAAAGTCATGTCCTTTTAGGGAGAAGTCTTTTAGCAAAATACAGAAGGGAGCTTTGCCAGATTTTGTCTGGCTTCTTCTTTATTCAAAAGCCGTATTCCTAGGGACGACTTCTGTACAGACAGCATTTTTAACCTGCAGCCTGAGCCAAACATTGAAGCCTTTAGAGGGAGGAATCCTCACCAAAACAGATGAGGGAGGTTGGGCTTCTGCCCTAAAGAATGTTTCAGTAAAAACAAGAGAATAATTTGAGACACAAACATTAACATACGGATCAAAAGACTCATCGTGGCCAAGAGAGAGCGTAACAATAATGCTCTCTGAAAGAGGTGCTATTCTACTCGACCAAGACTTCAAAGAGAGAGATCCAGACTCTGCGCACAGGCACTTGCTTTGATTCTGTCTGTGCAAGACAGTGACCTTAGGGATTTCCAGTTCTTAAAGCATTTTCAAACCAACCTGAGAACACACACACATTCACGTGCAGTCTTACTGTGTGCTAGGACCCCAGCGAACAGAGAAGATGGAGCATGTCTGACACAAAGCACCAAATGTTTCAATACTGACAAAGACGCCACATATCACGTACTCCTACAGTTCTCCTCTGATAAGGGGTAGTTCGGAACTGAATTATTTGTACATGACTTTAAAAGAAAAGAAGATTTGCAATGAACATCAAATAGTCAGGGGGAAAAAAAATTACAAAGAGTCCTCCTGACCTTCTCAGCCATGGCATCCATGAAATCTTGCCTCTGGTACTCTCGCCGACGAAGATGTCGGTACACATGAAACTCCCCACTCCCAGCTCCAGCACTGGAACCTACAATAAAGAAGAGTTAGTCTACTAGAAAATAACGTATACTAGATGCTCACAAATGACTACAGCTAGATGCTGAGGGACAGGACACATGAAAGGGCACCGTCAGATGAAAATCTATTAACAACACACAGAGTGTGTCACCCTTTTATATAAGCTCAAATCACTTGCAATCAAAAGCCAAAGCAAGCTGCAAAACCATACGCTTACGGTTCACTGCAGTTTCTACTGGTCAGTTACTCCCCTAGAGAGAATCCAGTCTTAGCTGGACATTGAGGCAGTAAAAGAACTAGAGTTCAAATGCACATCCCATTCTCTTCTAGGCAGAGATGAGCGAAAACTTCCTACTGAGGCTGCTTCTCACTAATTTTCAGCATCTCATACAAAAAATAAAGGTCAACAGTAGGGTGATAAAGCCCATCATATTATACTTTCCCATGCAAGACAGGTACCACTGACAGTTTTTGACCATTTCTTCATAAATTAAATCCCTGTAGCGCTCTTCCTGGCATCAGTCTGCATGTTGAAGTCTCACAGGAGCTTTCAACATTGCACTCCATTCTCTTCCTCTGTCTCCTGAGCCATTTCTCAATGCAAAGCACACAAATACATGCCTCAAATAAGACACCTAGTAATTAAAACATGGCAGCTGGGACTGCAATAGGGTGTTCTTGATATCAACAGAATCCCAGCATGTCAGGTGCTCCCAGAAAAACAAGACAGTTCAACTCAAGCACACAGCAAAGCTATTTGAAAAAGCCACGAGGGAATTACAATACGCAGAACAGGTTATTCAGAAGTGTATAAAAGCTTTAGTCCAAGATCAATTATTCTGAAACAAGAACAAGTCAGCCTCTAGAAAGGATCATTAATAAGGAAGAAGATCCCAAAGAAAGACAGAACTTCTACATGCAGATGAAATTTATACCACAACTACTACATTTAATCCGTGCAGGTAAAAGTAAAGTGTAAGCAGAATACTTGGGTCGGGTTCCTTGCACAGCTGCCAGCTCCCTACCTGACCATGTACAATCATATCCGCTGCACGCGTCTGCTTCTCACTGCCTGAGACTCAGACTCAAAGCAGTCAAAAGAGGGACTTGGTAATTGTAAGTTTCCAGAGCACTCTCAGATCCATGGAAAGGACAGATTTACTTATCATCATTTACTTGTCATCACCAGAGCAGCAGCTTATTTCACTGCACGCAGTCCACGTGCTGGAGTGCCACAGGCACTGTTCGCATTCTGACAACAAGCAGAAAAGTGGAACCCAAGAACCAAACAAAAGTTGGAAAAGCAACTCTGGAAGCACGTTTCATACCTCTTTTCTCCAGCAAAATGAGCAACAACAGAAACCTGTCTCCGGCCTTTTCTGTTAAACACTTTTCTAAGTTTAATGTAGCTAACCCTACAGATATCTGAAGAATAGTATCTTTACCCATCACGTCTCTAACAAACTCCGGGGGAGGTCGTGGTGCCCATTCATTCAGTTTTTCAGGAATTGGTACAGTCTTTTCCTGCAAGAACAAAGCAACCAGTCATCAGTATCTTCTAGGAGCAAAGTCTGCAATTTTAACACATTGTTGAAAGGTGGTATATTTCTGACAACAGCCTCTTCCGTCAGCTGACAGAGCTCAGAAGCAGCACAGTAATTTCTTCATGCATAGGGATCAGGAGCAGGCAGAACACAAGAATCAGAAGGTATCCTCTCTCTCCCTCACATTCAGGCCTGCACGTCAACAAACCCCAGGAGGATTAGGAGTGTCTGTGCTTCTTTTCAGTACGGAAACTAGAAGGAAGCAAGTCAGCACCTCCAAGCACTCACAGAAACTGAGTATACTCCCACTACCAGTAGCCTGGGAAGAGACGAAAGGCATTTGGGCACCTTCCATGCCAGATCTATGGAGTACAGGGAAGGGAGAACACATGGTGCAAGGTCAGAGGAAGAACACGGCGCGGGGAAGTCTCAGCCTCCTCCAGCACACACACAGAGGGAGGGTGAGAGTCTCCACCTGGCAAACGCCGCCTCCTCAGGACAAGGATCAAAACACCCAGTTAGAGGAACCAGGGTCATGCTCCCCCCCACCCCCAATTAAAAACAGCTGGCAGAGGAAAGACCAGCTGGCAGAGCACTGAGGGGCCAGTCCTCCCCCTGGGTCCCCAGGGATGGGTCTCTCCCCTCACGGCAACCCGGTGTGTGTGTGTGTGGGGGTCGGCCTCTCTCCCCTCACAGACCCGGGGAGGGGACGAGGTGGTGTTGGTGGCGTTGGTCCCTCTCCCTTCAGGGACCCGGGAAGGAGGGGGATGGAGGTCGGTCCCTCTTCCCTCACAGAGCCCGGTGGTGGTGGGGTTCGGTCCCTCTCCCCTCAAGAAGCCAGGGTGGAGGAATGGGGGGGGTGGAGCAGTCGGTCCGTCTCCCCTCATGGAACCAGGAAGGAAGGGGGGGTGTCGGTCCCTCTCTCCTCACAGACCCCGGGGGGGGGTGGGGG